GCCACTAAGGGCGCTCAAATCATCTTGAATCCCCAATAGACATCACAAGAAGGCACACGTGAAAAGCTTTGCTAAGTTCGGTGAAACACTTGGTGAATTCATGTTGATTCTAGGAGTTAGCTAATGGAAATCGAATGTCCGGGGTTGAGATATTTGGTAGTGATAAAACGTGAATAGATCACTTTCAGGCCTTTGAAGAAGGCGTTGTGCCAAAGCCTTGGGCTCTGAAATAAAGTGTTTCACTAACAACTTGTAACAAAAAATAGGAATTGTGCAGCGAATTAACTTACAATTCACAAAACATGTAAATGACCAAATAAATACTCACAGCGTAGTACACGAAAATGTTCGAACGTTTCCGCGCCACCGAACCGACTTCAACTTTTCAAATAAAAATGGTCGCGTCACCAATATTGCATTTTTGTACTCGTCTGCAAGCCTGAATCAAGTAGTTTTGATTTTTGATAGGATCTTCATGAAGAAAAAAGCACCAACTTAAGAAAATCATAGGTATGTAGTATACAGATGGACAGCACCTGTTCGTCAACTCCACTAGCGGTCCGAAGCCCCTTGCCGAGCCATGAAATACATTGAGTGAATCAATTATGACAGCCCTCTCATCAGGTTTTGACCAAGCACGAAGTTTCTGTCGCAAAGCAGAGACTTCTTTTCGAGTGACACTTCCTGAAGTACAAGGCTAAACAACATGATAGTAAAATAAGAACAAAAACGCACCACTGTCTTTGCCAAGCTCAAATAATAAATTGCTGATATCCTCTTTCAAACACTGAAATTCCTGGTCATTGATATTTTCTTCTTTTGGCACAGTATACGATAAACGCTTTCCCTCAGGCGTATTGAGTACGCCCTGCTTTGTGGCGAGCACAGATTCCACTTTTGAACCACAGACCCTAAATTTCTCTTTAGATGGAGAGATCCTAAATGTACCCACTGCTTGTCAGCAAATATCTTTATTTCCATATCTTTTCTAGCCGTTAATAATCCTAATTATAGGGACTGCTTGGAGCTCCCAGTTACAAGCAGCTCTCCTACTAATTTACTGCAAGATTACAGCGCGAAGTTGAAAGTAGCTTAAGCTACCGTGAAGCACTGGTATTTCAAGGTTAAATGGTTACCATATTTATGCTTAGCGTACAATCACAACAGAACAATATACTCGCTAGAACTATCTTAGAGAAATCAGTTACATCGAAGCCATCTACAAAATTATGTTGTAATCCTGATATGATAAAAGTACAATATTTGTTCGCATAATGCAAATCTAGGCAAGCCTACTATCGAGAGCTAATAAAGGTCTCGAATAAGAAGGGTAGATACTGACTAAACTAGGGCGCCATTCATTGGACCGAATTCGAATAAAACTTTCGATTAATAGTTCAAAAAGTCTAATAAGTAAAAAATTTGATTTTTGAGTAACTTGAGAGATCAAACATTAGTAAATTTTGATTTCGTTGTTGGATTTTTTAAATAATCAAAATTTGAAATAATTCTTGATGTGTATGTTGTATGGATTATATATAGTCATATTGTAACTTGTTCTACCTCTGTTTTTTTCCTGTTATACGTGACAAGATAATGGGATATACGCCACCCCTTATGCTGTTATCCAGAGTTATTTCATTTCAGCAATGGGGTATACGGCATTTATGTAGGAGGCCTCTCAGCCTTTCTGTATATAAATGTTTACCATCAACATGTTCCATAACAACTTTAATCAGAGGAAGCTTCTATCGATCAAGACAAAGGATTTCTACACCGATCAACGACGACGAAGAAGACTCCAAGATCAAATAAAACAAGAAAGCGGTACCACCAGTTCAGAAAAGCCAGCCATGCCTAAAGTGGAGAGGAAAGTGGAGAGGAACGGTGTGATCATGATTCTCAATGGAGAAGATCCTGACTGTCATGGTTGAGCAATGAAGATGCAGCATGACGAAATGAAGTCAACGTTACGCTACTCTTAGCCGCAGTGAAAGCGGTGCCGCCCAGGATCCCAGCAAAGATCAACATGACCAGCTGATCAGGGACGTGCAAAAGTTCGTCTCAGATGAAGAGAGAGGTAATAAATTCACCTACTGGTTCAACAAATACGGGCCGGTTATACGCACGCTCTGTTGCCGGACAAC